ACGGCTCTGATCCCCAACGGCACTGATTCCCAACGGTTCTGTATCCCCATCGGTTCTGATCCCCAACGGCACTGATTCCCATCGGTTCTGATCCCCAACGGCACTGATTCCCAACGGTTCTGATCCCCAACGGCTCTGATCCCCAACGGCACTGATTCCCATCGGCTCTGATCCCCATCGGCTCTGATCCCCAACGGTTCTTATCCCCATCGGTTCTGATCCCCAACGGTTCTGATCCCCATCGGTTCTGATCCCCAACAGCTCTGATCCCCATCGGCTCTGATCCCCAACAGCTCTGATTCCCAACGGCTCTGATCCCCATCGGCTCTGATCCATATCGGCTCTGATCCCCATCACCTGCACAGAAATACACACACAGATGAAGATCCAAACACGTTTAAATCTGTGATGAACTGCGCAGATCATCTTGATTGGAGCATTGGAAGTAAACATGAGTTTATGGTCTCGATCCCTTTCAAGTCTTCTTCGATACAGCATGATGCTCATTCAGTAAATGATGGGCCTTGTAGAGTCAAACAGACCATGACGCAGGGGCTGCTTTACAGCGGGGCTACCCATTGATTGACAGATTGAATCGGCTCTGTGAGTCGTCCTTGTTGTTGTGTGTTTTCACTTAGCTCCACCCCCTTGTGCCACTTCTCGTTGCAGAATGCCCAAATTCAGGGCTTTGACCCGTCGGTCGACACGCCACTGGGTGATGTCACGGGGACTCTTATGTACAGTTTATGGTATTTGGTTGTAATCCAACCCTGAAAGATTGACCTGATGATGGCGCTAGATGAAAACTCACGCAAAGCCATCCTCTGGGGAACATGAATGTCTGCACCCAATTCCATGTGATTTTGTGAGCATCCCGTCAAAAAGAAAAAAATTCAAAGGCAAATGGATTTATTCTCTGGGGAACGTGGATGTCTGTACAAAATGTCATGGCAATCCATCCAATAGCTGTTGGGACATTTCAGTCTGGACTAAAGGCTGACAGACGCACATTCCCATTCAGAAAGACACACCGCAAACTAATTTATGGTCTGTTCCCTACGGGGGAACACGCAAACACATATGGACAGAATCTCTTATGGAATCGGAGCACATTTAGAAGGAAAAGTCTTAAAATCACCAAAGTCATCAGCAGCTGTTTCGCGGGGTAACGTCTGTCTACGGAATGCGTCGGGCGCACATATCGCGACGGCTTTGTTCCCCGACGTCTGTCACCATGTCTGACTAATGCCGCCGCGTAGAAGTGAAAGAAGCTTTCCGTGAGCGGCCTCACGAAGTGATGACAAAGACTGCGCTCAGGGGCAAACCGCCGACGGGAGACAACGATGCATTGAAAGCTTAAAAATCTCTGGCGATAAAGGTTTCTTTTTTAACTAAACAAAGACATTTTGATCATAAATCCTGCAGGACTCTGAACCTGAAAGTAGCCGGCCGCGGACTGCCAGTCGGGTCTCTCAGGGCCAAAAGCTACAGAAACCACATTCAGGACATGGTGCAGGGAAGGATTGCCTTGAAATAAATACTCTCAGTCTTTTTCCCCCCTTTTTTTAAAGTAAATATTTTCACTGGAGGAAAACCTCAGTTTGGCAAACGTACAAATGGTTCCATACGAGATTTTTCCAAATGGATTTGTGCATTTTTCTGAAATCTCTCAAACCTGATACCGTAGTTTTGAGGGGCCAGACCACCTTTTGTTTCATGCTTCACAAACCCCCCCCCAGCGGTCTCTCACCGCAGCTCCCTGTTTCCAGGCCCGTCGCGGAACAGCCAGCAAACCGTTTTCCTGGAGCTCCGAGGTCACTGGATGAACGAATGTTTTCGCTTGGCGACCCCCGGGTCGCCGCAGAAGTGGGGGTCCTCGGAGGAAGCCTCTTTTTTTTTTTTAAATTACAGTGCGGATGAAGCGTGAGAAATTACAGCCACTTTGAAGTGATTTCACGAGCCCAAGAGGGCTGCGGGACCACCCCTGTGCCCCCCTGTTCAGAGGCCGCCGCGGCACCGAGCACGCAGACACACCGACGCAGTCTGGCGGCAGCTTAGTTTACGCCCCCGGCTCAACGCCTAGTTACCAACCAGCGGCTGCTGCTTCTTCTCATTGCAGCGCTATATTTCATATATAACATTTCTGCAAACTTCTATGTGAAAAATCACCAATATGAATGTATGTTAAAGTATAAGACCTGAATCTGAACCTTTCAAGAGGAACCTTTGCATTTGGGAAAATAAGCCTATTCCGAGTCGGATGAGACCATCTGTACGTCGGCCTCAAGGCTACAAACTGCGGTTGGTTAGCTTAGCTTAGCAAAAAGACTGGAAAGAGAAACAGTTACGGCCTCTTGAGTTCTAATAAGTACAAAGTGTTCATTTGTGCCCATGTCTTTACTCCTTGATCCATCTTAGTGGAGCTCTGCTGAGACGGGTAACACCCGCGGGCCGCCGGTCACCCCCTCCCCCCCGACCCTTTCCCGGGAATGGGCTCGTGGTCTGGATGAGTTTGGAAGGAGGTCTTTTGTTGGAGCCGTGCCGGGCCGGGTTTGGACCCGAGCCCTTAAGATGGAGGCGCCAGAGTGAGTTTAACGCAGCTCTCCCTCCGGGTCGCCTGTTCGGATTCCGCTCCTCCGTCTTCACCGTCTTTGTCCAAACATCAATGCAGCGTCTGGGACTCAAAAAACGGTGGGATGGTTGTTAATTCTTACTCTGACATTTTGTGAAACACCCTCTTTTTCTCCCTGCAAAGTAACAATAAATCTCCACGATAAATATGCTAACGCTAGCAGCCGATTAGCTTAGCTCATCGCAACGGTTGGAAGCTAGAGAAACATAGAGACTTGGCGACGATGGCGCCACACATCGAATTATGACGTACGACGTTCCCCAGAGCCGGGCGCTCGCCACCGCGCAGACGATAAACACCTCGGCCCGGCAGAGACGCCGGCACAGCGGTTCCTCTGTGCGCGGACGTTTTGGGCCGAGCCGAGTAGACAGGACATTCTCCAAAGAGGCCACGCAGCAGACGGGATGAGACCCTCCCACAGGTCATCCACAGGGGACGAAGACACGGACACTTTGTGTGCAGCAGAGCGCCTCCACTGATTGGCCCGCGTGCGTCTGGCTTTCCTCTGCGTATCTGATGGTTGAGCAGCATCAGACGACACCCGATGCTCCCGCAAGGTTTCGAATGAGGGCCGGCGAAGAGATGGCGGCCTGTTTAGTATCCGTGTTTTTTTAATTATTTGGAATAAAAATGGTGTCAATTTCAAAAGTGATCCCAAAAGCCATTTTGAATAATGTATACTTATTGTTGCTTTAAACCCAATTTCTATAACATAACAATAAATGTATCTTCTTGTTAATTAAAATTTGAGTCGCTGTTCAGGCTAACAAGTAGTAAAGAAATATGACAAAGCAAAGATATAATGAATAAAAGCAGTATTTAACAGTCTAACAGTAGTGAAATTGTTTTTGACACCATTTTTCTGAGTAGATTCATTCTTTTTTCGGGGGGGGGGCACGTTATGTCACAAAATTGCGTTCAGGAAAACCAAAATGGTCGGGCTTAAAATGTCTCTGTGTATTTGTCTTTGAGGAAACAAAAGGACAACAACGGAACCTCAAAGTCTCGTCCTCTGAATGACCTCGGCAAGCGGATTTCATTGATCACTTCATCGATGTTTCCACCACAGAAAACGAGCCGACTTTCCATGGTCGCTGTCTTTGACCCGTTGTGAGCGACTGATTGCATTTTTGTGACTTAACGACGTGTCTTGAGACTGAGCAGAAACACAAAGATGACATCATCACAGACGGACCTCATCCGCTGGACGAGTTCACGTATTAATGTGGATTCAGACCTCACCTTTTCTTTTCTATTTCGTCTACTTGTCGGCACCTAACTTGTCTTTTTCTGCCATATCGTCTCTTGTAATTCAGTCATTTTTATTTGTTTTACCTGCCTCCCATCGGTTGTCTGGTCCCAGGTGTGGCCCCCAAAAGCCCAGACGAAGACCTAAAGCGGCTGAAACATGTTGGCTCTTCCGATGAATTCACATTCTTTACATTAAAGGGTTTTCGATATTTCGCTGCCCTGCCAGCGGCTCCTTCCTGTTCGACCTCACGTTTCCCTCCCGAGCAACCGAGTAGCTCCACATGCTGTTATCCCTCCCTCAGCAATACCCGCTGACAGTTTGCTGATGTAACCTTATTAAAGAGAACGGTTGTGCGTTATTTAGATCGACTTATATAATGAAATTATTATGTGGTCTCTTAGAGAGTGTGTTCATGTTTGGAAACACAGATGTTCTAATGTTGTGTGTCAATCAAAATATAGCATGAGAGTGAGATAAAAGGAAGGAAACTGAGCGGATGCACTGATTTATTAACGCACATCACGTGACGATGGACGTCGGTTCGGTTCTGTTCCTTCAAAGTTAATTCCAGCCAATAATTCCTCCGGTGCGTCCTTTCTCGTTTTTGGGGGGGCGTTGAAGTTGACGTCCGCGCCCACAAACCGCTGACGTTAACTGCTCGGCGAAAGAACACGACACCAGTGTGACAGAGAGATTACTGGTTCTATATTTAGTGTTTATGTACATGAATATTGGCAGGACAACTGTACATGTGACACACACGCACGCACGCACACGCACACACACACACACACTCCCACAGCGATACAGTGGTAATAACACAGACCTCCGGCACAGAAGACATTTACACGAACAGCAAACACTGAGATACACAAGGGAATGTCCAAACTACGACGGCTTCATCGGAAAACTGCAATTTACAGTTTCCAATTTTACAGTTATCATCGTCGTCAATAAAAACAATCACGGAAAAAAGAACGAGAGAGTTGAAAAGTATAAAATAATTTAAATTCCTCCTAAAACACGTAGTGAACACGCAGTGAGAGATCTATACAACGCGGGGCGGCCGGTTGGAGAACGCACAGATGGGACCGGCGAGAGCCGAGCGTCGTGCAGCGGCAACGAGAGGTGACCTTCCCTCAAGCTCCGCCTCCCCGGTGGAAAAACAGGCCGCCCGCAGGGGCCCCCGATGAAACGTGAACATAAATATACAGTTTGATATCTCTCTCTACAAACAGTCACCGCCACAGGCCGCCTCCGCTCGTGTGAGTAGTCAGTCTGTATACACTCCTTAGTAGAATATCACTTAGAGTTAAATAAACTTATTTAATATATATATATATATATATTTGTAATAGATTTTTTTTCTTTGCAGAGTCATTTAGCAATATTTCCTCGTCTTCACCAGTTTGCTCTGGTACTTCACCGAGTGACCACTGTGTCCCACCACGTAAACGTCCAGCAGGTAGGTCTTCCCCGCCTCCAGGCCCGCGATGGTCTCCGTGGTCACCGCTTTCTGCAGGTTCGGGCTGTGGAAGTACTTGCACAGGACCTTTTCCGACTTCCTGCGGGTCTCCGGCCCGGCGCACTGGTTCTGCTCCCGGCGCCGCTGCTCCTCGCCGTAGCTCTCGGCCACCTCCTTGCGGTAGATGCAGTATTTGTTGCGGTCCTGCGTGCCCAGCCAGGCCACGGTGGCGGAGGAGCAGGTGCGCAGCTTGTCGAAGGCCTTGATGCGCGTGTCCTCCGGGAGCGACGGGAAGGGCTGCTTGCTGCTGGGCCGGGTGGTGGCCAGCACCTTCAGGGTGGAGGCGCCCTTCCTGCTGCCCCGCAGACGGATCAGGTACTTGCCCTTCGGCTTGCCGCGCAGCTGGAACTGCCGCACCCCCTCCACGTTCTGCGAGAGCAGCAGCTTGCCGTCGCGCCGCACCTGCACCTGCACGGCGTCCAGGCACGCGTGGACGGACAGGGTGACCCGCTGGTGCGAGGACACCGGGGCGAAGCGCAGGAACTTGCTGCCCTTCCGCTTGATGAAGACGTCGGACACCCTGCCGTCCTTCAGCTCCACCGTCTTCTGACGGGCTTCCTCTTTGGTGCGGGCGAAGGTGCCCACGTACGCCGTGCTGGTGTTGGTCGCGGAGTTCACGGCGAACACGTCAAAGTAGTACTGCGTGTCCGGTTTCAGGTCCGACACGGTGAAGATGTTTTTGTTGCCGATGCACACCTTCTGAAGGTCCAGCGCTTTGGGCTTGGTCGCGTGCGCCCGGGAGATCCTGTTGCTCGTGAGGCCGCGCTCCTTGCCGAAGACGTTGTCGGAGGGCACGAAGCCAAAGTGGGCAAAGTCGAACGGGCTGAAGTCTCTGCCGGGCTTCGGCGCCAACATGAAGGCGTCGTCCGCGCTCATCTTGGCCTCAGCGGCACACATGCTCTTGAAGTTGTGCTCCTTGTTGATCACCACGCAGTACTGGACGGGCTGGCCCATCAGAAAGCCCGTCGGCGTGGGCTTCCAGGCCAGGGTGACGGTGGTGCGGCCCAGCGCGGTCACGTCCACGCGGGGGTCGAAGGGCAGCTCCGGGTAGGGCTGGTCGGACTCTGGCGTGGTGGTGGCGTACACCTTGAAGTTGCTGTCTTTCTCTGTGGACAGCAGCTCCAGCTGGTAGAGGCCGGCGGGGGTGCTGGTGGCCACGTACGCCTCCACGTCGTTGCCCTTGTAGGTGAAGAGCTCCGTCCCCTCGTCCACGGTCATCTGCCGCTTCTGCTCGTCTAGAGGTTCAGGCTCTCCTGAAAAGAAAAAAACGAAAAACTGCAGTCGTGACCTTTACAACGTTCTCTTCTGTTTAATCTTTAGCTTTCATGAGAAGTTGCTAAAAGCGCCAAAGGCACGTTTGATATGTAACGATGAAGCTCTGCAGCGTCTCACGGGCGATTAGCCCCCCCTTACAGGGGCGGCCATGTTTTCCCTCCAAACATCCCCAGAAAGATCACAGGGCAACATTCACCCGGGGAAGCTGTGCTACAAAGAGGCGCCTTGTAGCTTCGAGGCGAGAGCGGCGGCCCGAGCATCACGTTATGTTGATCTACCAGAGAGTGTGCTCAGCGGTGTACTCCAAATTAATGCTCAGAGATCTACTCCCGCCGGAGACATTCAGCAGAGAGAGACTGCTTCACCGACACCTCCACCAACGGCTCCACGTGTATTGGGTCCCCATTCATAGACGCCACGTAAAATGTGACCGTGACGTCACTCGTTGGTTTGTGGACAACCGCCTTGAGGCCTCAAATTTGGCCATTTTTGGACTTTGCCATCTTGGTATTTTTTGGAACTAGAAGCGACAGGAGATCACGGCGGGGTGGACAACCAATGCGTAGCCACGGCCAAAAGCTCGATGGTCTATTTGACTCTAAATTAACCATTAAATTAATTAATTTACTAAATAAACATGCTGTATTGAAGAAGACTTCAGGAACTATAGACTAATACCATAAACTCATGTTTACAATGTTTTCTGAGGGAATAAATCAAGAGAGAAGTAGTTCTCTGGTAGACTCCTATGGGACCAGGGGAGCCGCCCCCTGGTGGTCACTGCAGAGAATGCAGCTTTGAGACACCAGTCTTTGTCCACATTTGTTGTTGTTCCTCTGCTCAGAGTCAAATTATTTTCTCTTGAGGCGAGGTACACGTCTTCAAATGAGTAACAATATATGTTCCTGTAAGATTTGATGTGACAAGAGCCACAAACGCAGGTGTGTTTACACACATGATCCCCCCCCCACCCGGTCATCTGGAGCAACCTGCCGCCCTCCAGACGGAGAAAGTTTTGAAGCGAGGGAGAAAAGAGGAAAGATAAAGGCAGAGAGACTGAAAAGAGGAAGACAGAGTCTGAGTGAAGGGAAGCCGTGTCTTTGTTTCTGTACGTTGACGCTCCTCTGAAATTATAGACGTCGTGTCGAGTCAGACATCATAAGTGGTCGGACTAGACACCACGACTTTGACTTAATTAAAACCCAGCAAAACACAAAGCCTAACATCACTGCGTAGGTTAAGTGTGTGTGTGTGTGTGTGTGTGGGCGGATAGTGATGTTTCCACAGAACGTGTCATTAACCCTTTTCCACTGCGGCCTGATGTCAATTATACCTGATGCCTCTCCGCTGGCCTCCTCGGGCAGCTCCTGCAGCGTGAGCTTCCACTCCAGAGGAGCATCACAGGGTGTCACGGTCACAGACAGGGGTGTGTTGTCTTCTTCCACCACAAAATAGTACCTGGGAAAATAACACGGCGTCAAAAAGGGGGCCGTCACGTTTTCAACGTTTTAATGCAGAACACGGCGAGGAGCGAAGCGCTCGGTGCGCGGTATGCAGAAACTCAATTACAGAAACACGACTTTCTCGTTTATTATTTAGTTTCTGCATCTGCATAATAGATCACGCTGCGGCGCCGCGTCTGATGTTTCCGTATCTATTTACAGGAAGTGGCCGTCGGAAGGCAGAGTCGGCTCATTTGCGCCGGGCGTTAGCTTGGTCACCTCTTGGGCGTGTCCCTGAACAGGTAGCCGCTGATCTCGGCTCCGTCCGGGACGACGGAGGAGTCGTGGAACAGCGACTTGTCTCTGATCTGCATCTGGAAGAGCCCCTCGTCCCTGGTGGGCAGCTTCTGCGCCGAAGCCTCCAGCGCCAGCAGCGCCAGCAGCACCGCAGTCCAGCGTCTCCACGGCCTCATTCTGAAAGACACGGTTTCATTGTAGTCTTGGGTTGTACCACAGTTATGTTGGACTTTAAGGGGACGGTTGAGATTTTTTTTGGGGGGGGAAACCAGCTTGTTTGTTTTCTTGCCCGAGAACTAGAACAGAAGATTGGTGGTTCTCATGAACAGTAAATCCAAAACTACAGACAGCAGCAGGCGGGCTTAGCTTAGTTTAGCATGAACCTAGCGTGTCTTTTTTTATCTAACCATGGAGGAGAAACTCCCATTGGGATTTATTTAAGTCTTGGCGAGGACGGCAGGATAAAAGTTTCACTTAAAAGATCAAAAAAACACATTTGAAGGAAAAAAAGCAGCTAGCAGCATTTAGCAACAACATATTTAAAACCAGTTGATCCTGTTTTAATAACCTCCCATTACTGGAGAGCTACGGTAGCTCACGCTAAAAACAAAACCTTTTACGTTGGACAACAAAACGCACAGTTGGTTGTCAGACTGCGAAGAGGATTCCTTTACCTTTGAACAGAGCCAGACTTTATGCTAAGCTAGGCTAAGCGCCTTCTGCCACCGGGTTAATTTAAGAGAGGTGAATCCCTTGATCCCGGTGAAGACGCACACAAACATTCATACTTATGGCCTGATGTTGTTGTCTTTGCGCTGAGCTAAAGCAGCTGTTAGCGTGTTTACGCTCATAATGCTATAGCACAGATTATTTATCATACAGACATGAGAACGGTGGCCGATGGAAATCCTCAATGGCTTTTTCCTTTCCGCGCTCGCGTTCTATTCGGAAACACTCTTCAAAAGGGTTCCGCTTTAATCGGTTTCCAACCGCACGCTTCATGTTCAGATATGTTGTCGCTACTTTCAGTTCCAACGTTAATTAACGTCAACGCAAGGTGGAGTGAGCTGAAGTAAAGGAATGGGTGCTGCCTGCCGCAGAGAGGAATGGCGTGGGAGGGCGT